GACGGGCTTCTTGGATTTTTTTACTGATATTCGAGACATTCCACCTCGTTCTGTCCAGTTGCCTAATGGCACGCTAACCACTGCTTGCAAAGCTGGAACTGTTCATCTTGGTTCTCGTATTATGTTATATGATGTTCTGTTTGTTGACAGTCTTCAGTGCAGCTTAATATCTTTATCTCGGTTATTGGACCAATCTGGATGTATTGCCACTTTTACTAATAAATATTGTGTTGTTCAGGACCTCACGTCGAGGACGGTGATTGGAGCGGGTGAGCAGTTGGGGGGACTATATTTCTTTCGAGAGACAATCGATGCAAACACTTCTCGAGTGACTTCAATTTCAACACACTTGTGGCACCAGCGGATGGGTCATCCCTCTTCTACTATCCTTGGTCAATTTTCTTTTATCGAGTCTAGTTCTTTAATTTCGAATAAAAAGTGTGATGTTTGCTGCCGAGCAAAAAAATCTCATGCTAGTTTCCCGATTAGTCAGAGCATTAGCAGTTCCATATTTGGTTTGATACACTGTGATCTATGGGGACCTTATCGGGTGCCTGCCTTTAGTGGCGCTCCTTACTTTTTGACTATTGTTGATGATTATTCTCGTGGTACTTCGACCTTCTTATTGGATGATAAATCGTATGTCTCCTCTACTTTGATGAATTTTTTTGCTCTCATTAAACGGCAGTTTGGTGTATTGGTTAAAACAGTTCGCAGTGATAATGGAACAGAATTCATATGCATGGGTGATTATTTCCGCCAACAAGGGATTGTTCATGAAACCTCTTGTGTTGGAACCCCTCAACAAAATGGGCGTGTTGAGCGCAAGCATCAACATATTCTTAATGTGGCTCGTGCTCTCGCTTTCAGGCCAATTTACCGATTGAGTTTTGGGGTCATTGCATTCTTGCTGCTGGCTATCTGATTAATCGAACTCCCACACCTATTTTGTCCGGCAAAACCCCTTATGAGATTTTGTATGGCAAACCTCCTGACTATGCTCATTTGAGGGTATTTGGTTGCTTGTGCTACGTTCATAATCAGAACAAGGATGGTGACAAATTTGCAAGTCGGAGTCGAAAGTGTGTCTTTGTGGGTTATCCAGCCAGTCAAAAAGGTTGGTGTGCTTACGACTTAGATAACACCAGTTTTCTGGTCTCACGTGATGTAGAATTTTGTGAGTCCGAGTTTCCTTATTTGACGTCCCCTGATACTCCTTCTACACCGGTTGTTTCATGGCCTATGGCATCCGATGATGATGACGAGAGCGTAGCTCCTGTTACGACGGGTACTGCCGACAATAGGGCTCCTACATCTAATGATGATAGGGGGTGTTACTTCCCCTGAAGAGGTGCTCGGTCGTGGTCATCGGATCAAACGTCCTTCTTCACGTCTTGCTGATTTCGTCTCTCACACTGTTTGTCTGTCCCCCCACTCTGGCTCCTCCATCACATCCTCGAACTCGGGTACGCTTTATCCTCTTGATCACTATGTTTCTTGTGCTTCATTTTCGTCTGCACATAAGTCCTTTCTGGCTGCTGTTACCTCTGCTGTTGAGCCTCAGACATTTTCCGAGGCTGCTAAAGACAGCCGTTGGCGATCCGCCATGCAACTGGAGATTCGCGCATTGGAAAACAATCACACTTGGGATGTTGTTTCTCTTCCTACTGGGAAACATGCGATTGGTTGTAAGTGGATTTATAAAATTAAATATAACTCTGATGGATCTGTTGAGCGCTATAAGGCGCGTTTAGTTGTCTTAGGCAATCGGCAGGTTGAGGGGATTGATTATCAGGAGACATTTGCACATGTTGCCAAGATGGTTACAGTGCGGACATTTCTTGCTGTCGCGGTAGCTCGCCACTGAGAGGTTCATCAGATGGACGTGCACAATGCATTTTTACATGGGGATCTGACTGAGGAAGTCTACATGAAACTTCCTCCAGGCTTTCATTCACCTGAGCCCAGTAAGGTATGTTGGCTACGCAGGTCCCTGTATGGCTTAAAGCAAGCCCCTCGGTGTTGGTTTGCGAAACTTATTACTGCGTTACGTCAGTATGGTTTTCAGCAGTCCTATTCTGATTACTCCTTGTTCGTCCTTCATCGTGACTCGTTGAGATTACATGTTCTGGTATATGTCGATGATCTTATCATTTCTGGGAGCGACCTGACCTCTATTGCTACATTTAAGGACTATCTGGGTCGATGTTTCCATATGAAGGATTTGGGTGTGTTGAAGTATTTTCTCGGTATTGAGGTTGCTAGGAATTCTTCAGGAATTTTCTTATGCCAACGGAAGTACACTCTTGATATTGTGACCGAGACCGGTCTACTCGGCGGAAAACCAGCGGACTTTCCCATGGAACAAAATTACCAGCTTCCGTTAGCAGACGGTCCTGTGTTTTCTGACCCCGAGCGTTATCGTCGTCTCATTGGGCGATTGATCTATTTGACAGTTACTCGTCCAGACTTATCCTATGCGGTTCATACACTGTCTCAGTTCATGCAGC